TGCGGGCGAAGGGAGAGCCTCGGCAACTTGCGTCTGAATAGCACGGTGAAGTGAGTGATCCAGTGCTGTCGGGGTCACGTTGATGGTGGCGACAAGGAGAGCTGTCGAGCAACTTCCTCCCGGATTTACTGTTGAATTTGAGGATTTAACACGCTGTAGTTGGGGCCACTGCATTTGCACTCCAAAGCCGAAATATTCGCTGTTTGCGTATTAGCGCGTTGTGTAGAAAATCGCTGCTTGCGCAGCTTATCGAAACTTTGGCATAGCTGCATCACGGCCGTGATGGTCTATGGGTCTTTGGCCACAAGCATATGAAAAGCGTCGTCATCAATGCCTTTCAATATATTCTTTATTCTGTCAACCTATGTCATCCTGGCATCAACTCGCCTACAGAGGCTGATCACATCCTCAATGTAGCTCGTGAAGCTCTCACTATTTCGCTAAAATCCTCCCCGCAGGCCCAGTTCAGCGCGAAGCTTGCGCATGACTGGACGACCGAAAAACGAGGTCACCGCCTCTTTGAAAACCGACCTGGTAGGAATGTTGGCTTGGCGGTTGGTGAACCATAGGTTGGCCGAATTCGTCAGGTAGAAGATGACATGAGCCAGCTCCGCAGGGTCATCCCACTTGTTAATTGCTCTGGCACGCTCGTACTCTGCCAGCCAGTCCTCGACATCATGATCTTCAGTGCCGTTGTATACTGGTGGGTCACACAGACGAAGTACACCAGGCCACATGACAGGCGGCAGCGTGGAAGACGCTTGTGGGGGATCGACGCACTCGGTCATCGTGGAATGAGATGGTAGCTTACGGCTGCGGAGCTCCAGGACGTTACCCAGCACGTTTCCACCAAATGCAACGAGCGAGGCTGCGTAAAAACACAGGTTACTATTCGAGAAGCGTTAGCCGCAACAAGCTGCTACAGGCAGAAACTTGGCAAACACGAACCACACACGGACGTCAATGTCTTCTTTTACGCTGGCACAGAGCTGGGGCCACTATGCTCTGGTACACTAACGTGGTTGAACTTCTCGTACTGTAATATAGTGTGCAAAGGGTTTGTTTAGTAAACGAATGGTATGAACCAAGAATGTGAAGTGATAACTCAGCAGATCCTGATTAAAAGTTTACTTAGGCATAAATTTTCAAGTTTTTCACTTTTTCTGACAACACAGTGGCTTGGCTCGCATGTTTATTACACATAGGTCAACTGCAAATGACGAAAACTGCACTCAGACAAATTCCTTACTGGGTGTGTGAGACAGGCATATCACGAGAAAGATAATCTCCGCCGCCTTGTAACAGCCCTTTAAAATATTATAATTAGGTTTTTTTCTCTTTTTCTCATCACATCATAAATGCTTTCTTGGCTCTGAACAAGTTGCAGCTTCTCAATATTAGCTCGAACTTATTATCTGACCGAATTAAGGATAAAAACACAGCCTTTCTTTGAAGGAGTATAGAAAGAAGAAGAAAAAGTCGTGCATTTATACCCAGCACAAAGGATGAAGTATTAGGCTTCTGACGGGCGGTCACCAATGTTCTTTTCTGTCCATCCTGGTCTTGAGGTACTTGGTGGTGACATTATCCTTCTCGATGATGTGCAAAACGCCACCCCAACCCAAGAAGAAGTCTCTATTGAAGGCATTCATGAGTGCCTGCGCGGTCGCCTCGAACAGTTCATCAGGCCCCATGTCCGGTTCCCAGAGCGTCTCGCACATGCCGTAGCACTGCTCCTCGCAATTTACCCGAGATAACGAAGTCGGTAGGCTCGTCGATACAGCTGATCAGGTTCATCACGCAGATGTAGGGCTCATTTGTCACGGAGTCCAAGCCGGCCACTATGGGCTGCACGAAGTACGGACCGAAGCGGCGCTCATACAGCAGGTTGGAGATGACCGAGCCGAGCGTCTCGGGAGTTACAGAGCGGCCCTCGTGCAACTCGTACAGGTTTATACGAAACATGAGCCTTTGTGCCACCGTCTTCATGTCCGTTGCAAGGACCGGCAGGCCGCAGTAGAGCTTCGGGCCCATCTCGAAGATGCGTTCGAAGTCCAGCGCAATGGTGTGGCCGCGCACGCCCAGACGCCGGTCGGCTGCGATGGCGACGCATTCTTTGCCCTTCATGGCGACCACGACGCCTTCGTTGTAGGATGTAATACTCAGCTTGCCAACTTTTGGTTGCACAGCACGATTGAGGAACACAAACAGCGACTCACGAGCTAGCAATGTCTCTCCAAACTCCTTTGGCAAGAATGATGCATATCCAAAAGACGCTTTTGGATCGGATTGGTTCTGTCAGTACCGCATTGGCCGGACCGCGTATGCAGCTTAAAACACCCTGCTGCAAACTTTATTCTCACTCAACAACTTAGATGGTTTGCGTAAAACTCACAACAAATATGCAGTGTTGTACTTGAAGTGCAATTACTGGTGGCGGTATTTATGTCCCTGTATAGCAGTGACCAACGAAGTGCTGTCAGCACTGTGTTTAGCCGAAGTCGTTGGTTTCAGTAAGAATGTAACAACTATGCCGATCGTTCATTCCTGCAAATGAAAGCTATTGCAAATGAGCATGAATGTTTTTCCCTCAGAAGTGTTGTTTCTTGTAAAACTTGCTATGACCAATATATCGAGGGAGAAGTGTTGGCCTTCGACCAGCAAACCAAGGCTCTCATGCTAAGTATTCTTTCGGCCATCGTGCTGCTCGTTGTACAGCTTCCATCGGTGCCTTCGGTGAAAAGAAAGTGGAAACGTGCTTCGCAAGACTCGCCTCGGGTTCGCTAGTGTGCTGCTAGTGTTCCGGCACCCAGCATTCTTCACTTTCAGAGAATATTGAGTAGACGTGGTCAATGAAGTAGGCTCGCTTTGTTGTGTACCTTTCTGACATGAAAGGACGGTTGAGCCGATGCTAGGTCGCAGCAACTTGTTACCGGCCTCAGCGATGCAATCATCTGACGCGTTGCCTAGGGCGCCGGCATGCACTTGCGCTACGATAATCTAGGCGGCTGAGTGTTTTGACACCGTTCACGTTCACCAGGTGGCCCTTTTCTTAATGCGTAATTTGCTGTCACAGCATCCGGCACTTTTGAAATATCAATTGCTAATGATAGGGATGTGATATCATGTTTCCAGGTTATATGTTTAATGCCTTTTCAGTCTTTACCCACTCCTTCAGCTTCTTTAGTGTCCCTTTGGCGTTGCTTGACTTGGATGTCATGGGTTCAATTGATAGGGTCGAAATGCCTGAACGCTCGTAAACCTCGATTTGAGTGCGTCCAAAAAGTGGTATAAGTTAATCCGGTTTTCCTCGCTACTGCATGCCTAATAATCATGTAACATGCGAAGCCCGTGAAATCTGCGCCCTGGGAAGTTGAAGTAAACAAACAAAAAAGAAAGGAAGCATGACGATGCATTGGACGTAATGGCATGTCAGCGCGTTATGCGCCTTCATGGTGTGACACTCTTCATGTGCTGCGCATTGACACACTTGTCTCAGAATGTGCCAGTTCTAGCGGCAGAGCCAATGTCAGCGACATACGCATGGTCAACCTCAACTTCGTCTTGGAGTTGACCGTAAAGAAGGAAGCCAGCTCCAGTCAGCTTATACCACCGCGGCCCTTGAACACAGAAAAGGTGCGTACTCAATAACATCCATAGTCCATAAACATCCCTAATTCGTAGTCATCGAAAAAGAATGTTCCATGTGCTTCCATGGATAAAGCACTCTTCAGTTTCTGCATTTCTCCCAGCGGCCTTAACTTTCCTTACAGCAGAACTTGTGCCCTGGCCACACTGACAACTTTTGAACAGTGTAGTATAGCTACTGCTGTCGGATTCCTATATTTTACTCACACATTGGGTCATCTAATCACAGTTTTTCAGTTTGTTCACGTGGTGGCTCATCACACTTTAATCATTCTTTGCTCTGAAATTGTGTTTGCCTTATGGTAAGACCAGCATGTACTTCAGCTTTTATCATTGAAACAGACTTTGCCTAGTACTGATCACTTCCAACTGTGTGCTTCACGTTAAAATGAAGACACCTACAGTTGAAAAAAATGTATTCGTGGGACCACTGGTGGTATTGTAACGTACTTATATATTTTATTCTTTCCTATTTCATTTCATAACTCGGCAAGAAATCTCCAGAAATATCGCTTATATCATTCTGTTGCTTATTTTTAAAAGGCGAAGATCGATTGGTCTTCACCATCGTTTCTGATGGTCCCAAGTAACGCAGAATGTTATCCTAACGTTGAATAAAAGTGCCCAGATGTGAGTCAGCAACGTTGCCTAAGCGCACTTAACGTCCTTTTTTATGATCACATGATAACGTTGCTTGTAACATTCAGGACGATATCCCAACATCCAGGATCACATCACAGCAATGTTTCCGGAACATAGCTGCAACATAATGTCAACATGCCCACAAGGTGATGGCAGCATACCAACAACGTGATGTCATCATTGCTGTGTGACGTGTTGACTTTCATGCGACATACGCAGAAAATATATACTACTGTGTGCACTATTATTAAAGGCCTGTTGACTTGTTACGGGAAGCGCCCCGAAGCTTCTGGCTAGGAAAAAAGCTCTGGTATAGTGCGAAAAATTGCATTATTATTGTCCATGCACAAAACCTGTTTCCTAATAGCACTTTATCAACACATTCGTACATGCATAAGCAAGTGGTGCTGGAACAGCCAAGCTGAAAAAATGTCAAAACACACTTGTGCATGTCCGTAAGACCAAAAACACTTTTCAAATTACAAAGCTTCTAACACATGTGATACACATACTGCATTGTTTTAGAGCATTGAAAACTGTGGTATTGCTCTGTGTAAGCAATGACTACAATAGGTGAGCATGTGTTGAGGGTGCAGTATTTTTATGCGCAGAATTGCAGCAACCATGAAGACATGCAGTCGCACAGCTTATACAGAAAAGAACATGCCGAAGGGCCTGAAGCCAGATGAAAGAAAAAACAAGACATTTAGTTAGGAAGATTACTTACTTTTTATTTATTTGTCGTTGTTACACAGTAAAACATGAAGGGGAGTGTTCCAAAACACATTTAAGCATTGAGTAATTAATATCAACAAGGCACGTTGCAAGTTTCTTTCATACTCTGTCAACTGCTGGGTCGTAAAAAACAAATACACGTGCAAAATGAAAACACAACTTGTTTATACAATTTTAGCAACAGTTTGACGAAAAAAGCTTTTATCTATAGTATCTACAATATCAGTGGGAAAGTGAATAGGCAAGGAAGAAGACACTGGTGAAACTGCTATGTGTTAAATACATATGAGGACACGAATACCATAGACACCCATTGCCTTGTCGGTACTTTTCCAACAGTGATGCATGCATTGTATAGTGTGAGGATTGCCACTGCTGTTGACTGTCTGTGTCATGATTTCATGAACAGAGACAATATAGCAGCACTGAAAAACTGGCACATCTCACTCAGGTTTAGCTTGTTCTGACAGAGCTTAAAAGGTTCAAAAAGAGAACTTATTTTTACCAAAACAGAAAAACCTGCGGATATCTGTGTAGCAAAATATGTTGCACATCAAAAAAAGCTTATCAGTTTGAAAGCAACTGACCTTCATGATTACTGTCTGACACGTGAAAGGTGGCTCATTAAATGTGGCCGATTGATTACATAAAAAAATACGCCTTTGAAATTCAAGGTAGCTGACACCCGGTCAGAAAAAGTCAAATGCGATCAGTGGAGCAACTTCTCAGGGTAATTTGCACAAAACCGTTACCTCCCAGCAACAAACAAATGAGAAATATTCATTACGAAACGAATACACAAGGCATGCAACTATTTTCTATTCAGTTCATTACCAAGTTGTTGTCCTTTTGTCCATTGGATGATTAAACTGCCTTACACAATTATTCTTGTTCGTTCAGTCCGAATTTTAATTTTTATCTAGAGGTGAGCTCAACTTATTTTTATATTGTTATGCACTGCTCTACATAACTGTCTAGTATTTTTCATTTATCCATTTCTTGTGTTGTGTGTGCCACTAATTTTAGCATTTCAACATTTTTGGATTTGCAGTGAATGCAGCTTCCAAGTTGATACTTTGTAGCGAGTGGTAATGCGCATCTTTGGAAAAGGGGCAAAGTACTTTCACTGGTTTGCGGACGTCGTTAGGAAGGAAGTTGATTTTTCGAAGGTATTCAGATTGAGTATTATGACCGAGTACCCTCTTTCTCAAAAAGATATAACACCATAAATGTAAACTACGGATACGCATACAATCATACTTGTGGGCACAGGAACACCAGCAGGCACAGGAAATGCAATCTTTTAAAGTAGAATGACAAATGGACACCAACCTGCATCACCATCAGAGAAGCAACTAACAGCCATACCGCCACAACAGTTCACATGCTCAGTGGAGTTCACTAATGCAAACTGAGCAGCATGTTGAAGTAGCCAGTCTTTGCTCGAGACTTTGCCGATGTAGTTCGACTTGAGTGAACAAGCTCGCCAGGCCAGGGTACATCCAAGAGGGGTACACTGTCGATGATGCCGGCAAACAGCAATCGCAGGGTAATGGCTGTGACGACCGTGGAACAAGCCATGATGTGAGGCAATCGGTTGGCAATGAGGGCCTGCATTATGAAGAGGAAGTGATTAGACCCATACTAGTAGCTTATCAAGCAAACAAAATATTGAAATGGGAATACTTCCGTTAAAAAATGCAGAGAATGGGCTGACAAAATCTGTCAGCAACATTCTATGAAAGCTGTGCCAGGACTACAGAAAGCTATGTAACAATGCACAATCCAGCAGTGAGAAACCACAGCAGCGAAGAAACCGAAATAGTGCAGAGAATAAATTTGTGATGCTTTATAGAGCTGAATGATTGGTTCCTTACTTATTAATGATGGCAAAGACACACCATTTCGAGCTTATTTACAGTCTTAGTTCAGTTCTTCAGCTCAAACATATTCAGTCTACTTCATTATTTTCAAAGTGGCAATGTTCATTGAGCTAATTATTATAAATGATGCACAAAAAAATTGTTAGTAGTTTAAAATTGCAATATAAATACGGTGCTTATCAAACAGATGGCGCTCACAGCTTAGTATTCCATTCTGTTACTCCTCATCAGCTGCATTGGTGGCAAAGCAAGATGAAATTCTGCTCCTCATTTTCTTCTTCTGGCACCTGCATAAGTACCTAAAACAAAATGAAAAAATTCATCCAGAACATCAAAATAAAATTATCAGCACGTTTTTGGTACACCACAGTAGGCAGCCGAGTTATAACTAAGGAGCAGATGTAAATATGTTCCAAAAGACAGGCCAGTTCATAATTAAAAATATAAACTTATACCTAACACAGAAAATTATGGCAAAAACTACAGGCACGTTTCGCCAAATATGCAGCTGGCATCTTCAGTATGCTCTGGCACCAAATGAGCGGAGGTTACACAGTTCGCTGCTTGTCTCGTATGTGGCTTAGTGTGCGGCCGCGGTTGTTGTCGCGTGCCAACTCGTCACACTAATGAATCACGGCTCGAGAAGATTTCTCTTGCCCCACTTTTGTTCCCGAACTTGCGTTGTCTCATGATTGAAGTTGAAGGCATGTACCCTAGTCGAGCAGTGTTCGTCGAGTTTTGTCTTATAATGGGTGGCTTTTGCAATGTTTCCCTTGTTCTCTTTGAGCCCTGTTGGTCGCTTCCTGCCTATTTCACTCATGCATTAGATTTCGCATACATATGTGTTCAGCACTTGCAGTCATATAGACGGAAAACGTGGTTAGTGAATTGTAATGAAGTCATTATCTGAGCAAGTTTATCAACGACACCCAGAAACACATGCAAAAGGGAACAAAAAGTGTGCCGTGAGAAAACACAAAACCCATTCTTTCTGTACCTTACGTTGAAGGTTTTTCAGACTCTGTTTGAATAGCACTTTGTCCACTGGGAAATAAAACAATTTTCAAGCTTCATTTTACTTTGATAAACGTGCTCTCTAAGCCCAAACAGAGCACCCTAGTGAACGATCAAAACAGGGTTGTTTACGTTTCTGTGCGATGGCTGAGACACCAATTATATTGACAATACTAGAAGGTAGTGGTCAACGAGTTTTAATGAACACAAAGGGGACATCACAAAAGCCACGCATTCTAAGACAAACCTCGTCAAAAACTGCTTGAAAATGGGGCATGACTTCGACTTCCGTAATTTCCGTAACGACACTGGCTAGGGAACAAAAGAGAGGGAAGAGAAAGCTTTTCTAGTCGTGGTTAGACCGTGATGACCAGTCAGCGTGCAACAACAATCACGACTTCCATCCGGATGAGTAGACACATACAAGACATTCAGTGAATTCGGTCACCTCCACACATTTGGTGTCAGTGCACACTAAGCATGCCACTCACATAAGAGGCGAAATGTCTGTGTAGATTTGTTATATTTTGTTATATAAAGTAGGAGTACTTATTATGATCACTAAGGAGCAGAGTTTTATTTCCATGTTGATTTGACATATGTTCAAATACTTCCAGAGGAAAAGAAAATTTCTACAAATAAAAAACAAATATTTATAGACTTGGTTTCTATCTTTGCATACATAATTCCCTCCTGAGGCAAAATAAGCATTGCTGCTCAGAATTCATGCCGTGTGTTGACTACTGATAATCCTCCATCATATAATTATGCTATTGCCAGTGAACTGTTTTCTTAGAAATCGTTATCTATGCATCTCTTCTATTTGGCTACACAAACTGTGTTCATACGAAAAGGGCAATAGTTGACCACCAAATTTTTGGTTAGTAGTGAGCTCAACGAGTGCTGCTCACTCTATCAGATTGCTCCTTCTAAATTTAAAGCATCAAAACAAACTTGACCCAATTTCATGCATTTGCCTAAAGTAAAATTTCAAAATTTTCCAAATATTTAGATTAGAACAAGCTTAGTTCTTTGCTCTACATTTTGTCCATGCATTTGCCTTAAGTGAAATTCCGAAATTTCCCAAATTTTTTAGAATTGGACAAGCTTAGTTCTTTGCTCTACATTTTGTCAGATAAGATTAAAAATTTTATGTACTTCCTCGTCATGAAGACACTGTATCAGTGGCTTCGCAGAGCATTCCCTTGAAGATCATGTTAAGCTGTAAATTCACAACAAAACATGGCTAACTCACGTAAAATG